ATCCCTTGAACATATCGATTTTCGCAATAAGCCATTTGTTCGATAGCCTTCGACGTGGCTTTATCCAAATTAACATCTTTAACATGACCAACCAAACGTCCATTCTTATGAAGATGAACTTTCATAATTAGGCATTGTTTGGTAACCAAATAAGCTACAATATAGCTTATTTGGTTAGCTTAAAAGTTTCTTGTATTTAAACAAGCTTCGTTGGTAGGATGAGTTTTTTTTAAAAAGCTCGAGCTTATTGCATAGGCTTAGGCTTCTTAGGGTAGTTATTTCAAGTGGCTAAACTAGCTTATCATCTAATTTTACCAAAACACTTTATCATATAAGCTCGAAAATCACTTATAAACTATAAACTAGCTCGTCAACTATTAGTTTTACCAAACAAAATTTTACCAAATACTCTGTGCAGCACGGTAAACAATTGTTACAGAAAGATGAGAGAATCAAGAAAGGGGCAAAAATATTACCTTTGGATGAAACTCTTGAAACCCTGTAGTTGAGGTTGAGGTTGAGGTTGAAATGAGAAGAAGAAGAAGAAGAAGAAGCGTATTTGGGTGATGCAGATAAGTTGAGGGGGAATGGTGTTTTTGGTCGGTCACTGATAAGAAGATGACGCTCGGTTACAAGGTTTTGGTTGGATATCAGTGGATAGGCCATACCAATCTCTCTCTCTCTCTCTCTCCCAATTGTTGTTACATTGTCATGAGATATAAAAATGGGACAAATGATTTTGAACAAAATTACATAGACAAGGAGCTTGATTGGATACAAAAATTTCTATCAAATTTGTTTGTTAACCAAAATTAATTTGATAAAAAATAATGATATGATTAGTTGTTATATTGAGATTTTAAATTTATGTTGAAATAAAATAACTAAAATTAATTTGATTTTAAATTATGAGAGATTATATAAAGTGATGATTAGTTAAAATGTGATTGGATGAATAGTTAATTAAGTAAATGTGAAGTGTAACGATGATTGAGAATATTATTTGATTGTATTGATAATAGTAAAAATGGTTAAATTTTATAGAGATTATAGTATCGAACCGGTCCGGTCGAACAAAGGACCCATAAAACCGGGCCGAGTAAGGTGGAACATCGACCGAAGCTAGAGGGTTTAACCACACCTGGGCCCCAATCCATCTACCTAACGGTCGATACACATGGCCAGCAGAGGGGGCTCGACCGGGACGAGGCATCTACCCGTCGACCCAATGGCCGATACGAGCGACTATGGCGAGGCGGGTCGACAAAGTCGACCCTCATGACTCGGAGCATTGACTTAAATACGTCTGGTCAACGAATGACCGCGAGCCGACTACCACACAAGCAGATACCATATAAAAGGTGAAACTAAAAGGAAACGAGTAAGACTCGTTTAATACGAACACTGTTACATTTATTGCATATTATTCATCTATTCCGAAATTTTGACATGGGCATTGAAGGGTCTTGCACCGGAGCAATTTTGACACTTTTGCAGGTATTGACGAACTTACGTATTTGGACCAAGCATAACTGGTAGATGTACGTTCAAATCAGAGAGGACCTCTCGGAAGACTAGAGTCATTTATCTCGGACCGTATTAAAATTATAATTGAGTCAAATTTTGAATGTGGTGAGTTGGGAGTTCTTTTTTTCTCCTGATCGTGGATGAGTATAGTGTGTTGTGTAGGTTGGTTCTAGGCTACCTCGGTTTGTTGCCTTTGAAGTTAGTCCTCCCAACTAGATTCAGCTGAATACCTGACTTATTCGACTGTTTAGCGGCTATTGAATGTGTAATCATGTGTTTTTTTTTAAAAAAAAATTTTATCGTTTGACAAAAAAAAAAAAAAATAGAATTGAAATAATTAATGCATCATATTTAATTAATTGGTCAAATTAAATATTTAATCTATATATATAATTACTAGCTCTTCTACATTTAAGAAAACCTCATAAATTATACCTAGGTGACACTTTTATATTTTCCCTCCAAAAACCGTTACTTTTCATTTATTTAACCTAATTAATAGATAATCAATACACTAATCAATTTAAAATACAAAAATCATTTTGAACTTTTGATGACTAACAGTTAATCATATAATGTGTTACCGTATAATGTGATTAAATATTATTATTGTGGTTACATGTAAATTATTTTTTTTGGAAAATAAAAAAAGTATATGAAAGTCCTAAATAAATTATAAATAATTTTTAAAAAAATACATACCAAAATATACGTTACATCCAATATAATAAACGCAATTTAAAAAAAAATCAACTCCTTTAATTGTAATTTTGGCTGCAAAAACGTGAAATAAAAATAATTAATCATTATATGCATGCAAATAACTCACAGTATTTTATTTACATTTGTGCAAATGCACAGTTAGAATACTAGTTTTTTTATAATGCCCAACGCCAATTTGGTGTATCTTTTTTTTTAAATTTGGTCGAGATTTTTCACTGCACCACGTGGCACTCATATAGGTATGACTTACCCAACGAAAAAAAAAACAAAAAACAAAAAGAGAGAGAGAGAGAGAGAGAGATAAGAATGCTTTGCGTGAAACCGATATTTTGCTTTTTTGTTCTGTAAAATTTGGAACAAATGGAAACGAGGAGAGTGAGCCTAACAAATCCAACGAAAATGTATACTTTCCCCCTAAGTATCCTCTCTCTTCTCCTCCTCCTCTTGCAGGTCTCCCCCACCGCCGCCTTGCTCCGCGCGCCGCCCAGGCTGCCGTCTGGTGCCGCCGAGAAGCTGATTCGAGATCTCAATCTGTTTCCCAACTCACCGATCAACATCGTCGATGGCCACCTTACTACTGTTGACGTTCCAAAGATCGTCGAGAAGCGATTTAGGTTCCCGGATTCGGTCGATCCCAGCGAAGTTTCGTTGGAGGAATTAGGTCACCATGCCGGTTACTATCAGATTGAGCATTCTCATGACACCAGGTTGATTCTTAAATACTTTTGTCAGGCTTTAGGTACTGATATGTTTTTTTATTGAATTGTATTTAATGATTATTGCCTAGTTCAGTTGGTATGCAATCAAGAGGAGAATCACAATGTTAGTAGATTAGCTGCTTTTTGGTTAAAACAAATGGAATGAAGAGTGGGTTCATGTAGACGAACAATGTATACTTTATTTGCCATGCTTGGAAGAGTTCCTAATGTTGTAGCTGTGTACCTCATTATTAAGGTTCATAATTGTGGCGTTTCAAAAATCTTGGTCTATTTACAGATGTAGGCATTTATAATCGACCATTAACACAAGTAAACACTCTTAATCTGATAACTTGCAGCATGTTAAAGCAACTTAAAGCCTATTCCAACTGTTGATCATCGATCTTTAATGTTATTGTGGTGCCGGGTGTTTGAATTGAGCCTAAATTGGTATTCTTGATGTGCAGGATGTTTTACTTTTTCTTTGAATCACATAATAGCAGTAAAGATCCTGTTGTCATCTGGTTAACTGGTGGGCCAGGTTGTAGTAGTGAAATGGCCCTTTTCTTTGAAAATGGCCCTTTCACTATTGCTGATAACTTATCTCTAGTGCACAATGACTATGGCTGGGACCAGGTAAGTTTATCTGATGAATATGAAACCCTTCTATTTTACGGACTACAAAATTTAATGAGATGTGTGAATATCCTTATACTATTAAGATTTCAGAAAAATAACTATGAAAATGTGATGCGTAAATTTTTTGTTATTAGGTCGGCAGGTGTTTGGCAATTAAATGACGATAATAGGAAAATAACTCACATTAAGATTCTGTTCAGTGAAAGTGTCTGCAGGATAATTCTAATTACCTCTAGTTCTGTTTTCTGGTTTATAATCTTTTTCTTGCTGAAGTTACTTTTTTATTTAAATATTTGTTCGGACCATATTTATTGTCATAAAAAGGCTCGAAACTTGCTTCCATGGTATTAATTTTCATATTATTTTTTTATACTTTGCAGGCTTCAAACATTTTGTTTGTCGACCAGCCTGTTGGAACTGGCTTTAGCTATAGTTCTGATAGGCGCGACATTCGCCATAATGAAAAGGGTGTCAGCGATGACTTATATGACTTCATGCAGGTAGATGTTTTTCAATTTTCTCCTTCTCTATCCTATATAACACTAAGGAATACATAGTTCTCTGTTATGCTAACTATGCCTTATAAAGTAATGTAAGAACATGTCTTTTTGAGGTGTCATTGGTTTTAATTACAGATTTGCTAACAGAGAAATCTGTATTAGGAGAGAGAGTTGTTAAAGTAAAAAAATTCTAATGTCTGTTATAGTTGAAACATTACATCAAATATGGTTTACATGGTGGTAGTCTTTACGCTGAACTATCCTATAAGCCTAAAAAAATTATATTATCTGTTATAGTTGAAACATTACATCAAATATGGTTTACTTGGTGGTAGTCTTTACGCTGAGCTATCCTATATGCCTTGTGGGAGTGGTTGAAAGTCAATTCCAAACTGTATCTGCAATGTATCTGAAATATACAGGGTCAGTTAACCCCATACGTGTCTTCTTGGCAGTTAAATCTAATCTCCTTGAGATCTTTATGTTTTGGTTAGATTCCATTTTGGAGATTTGGGGCTATCGGACAATTCGGATTGGATTGGATATAGAACATTTTTAATGATTAATTAGAACACAAAAGTAACTAATAATTGCAATCACTATTTTCAAACTAATATCTTGTTATCTTGAATTATAAATATTTTTTAAACTTTCAACTTTTATGCATTTTTAATCTTATTGAAGATTGTTTTGAAACCAACCTTAAAAAAAGAAGAAAAGATAAAAAAAAAAATCACAGTTTTAGTTAATGCTATAATTATGCAAACTAGTGGTGGAAATTTAAACTCTTAAAAAAATATATATGGTTTTGGTAAATGGTTTTTCTTAGTTTTCATTTCATTTTAGCTAAAAAGGAGTAAAAGTAAGAAAAATAACAAAAATGTAACATAATTAAACTTTTGGAAATACTAAACTTATGTGAAGTTTAATTGCTATTACTATATGTTATAAAGTATTATGCAAAATATATAATTTATAATATTGTTTGTGAAATTTTTAGTACCTTGAGTCGATGATTATTTTTTGATTTGGAGTGATTTCGGTTTGGTTCTCGGAATGGTTTGGTATTTCCGTCCTCAACCCTACCTGTATGTGAGTAGTATTTACAAATTTTAATTGATAAGTTAAATTAAACATGCATCATCATCAACATCAACATACCCAGTATATTCCCAACGGGTTGGGGTCTGGGGGGTCAGTTGTACGCAGACCTTACCCTTGTAATTATACAAGGAGGCTGTTTCCATAGCGACCCAAGGTGCGTTGCGTCGTTTGATATATTTTTTTCTAGAAACTTCACTAATAGAAGAAGCACTAGAATTTAATTGAGCCATTTTGATCTAGTCCATTATTAGCACTATGCCAGGAGAATTGTCAACAATTACTCTTCCAGCTCTATATGCAATGGACATATAAGTTAAATTAAACATGCATCCTTTTTTAATGCTTCTTTTGATTCTCACCAGTAAGTAATTTTTGGTACAGGCGTTCTTCAAGGAGCATCCTGAACTGGCCGAGAATGATTTTTACATTACTGGGGAATCATATGCAGGGCACTATATTCCAGCTTTTGCAGCTCGTGTCTACCGAGGAAACAAAGAGAAAGATGGAATTCATATAAATCTGAAGGTATTCCCAATGCATAATAAAAAAGGGTCTGTATTTTACACCGTTACTTTTCTTATTAGATGTAACTACTCAGGGATTTGCTATTGGAAATGGGCTCACAGACCCAGCAATTCAGTATGGTGCATATGCTGATTATGCTCTTAATATGGGAATACTTACGCAACCTCAGCATGATCGTATCAACAAGGTGCTTCCGCTCTGTGAAACATCCATAAAACTTTGTGGTAAACTTTACTCTTTTTCTGAATGTAATTTTCTCATATACTTAATTTCATGTAATAACAATATTTTGTATACATTTATGTCCATTGATTTTTCTTCCCTGCATCGCCACTTCATTTGTTGTTTCCTCATCATTAGTGATAATGCCAGTATATGCTTCTGGCTGGAGCTGCTATTAGTGTGAAAACTGTTTTTATCTTACAGGAACTGATGGGACATTATCCTGCATGGCTGCCTACTTCGTTTGCAACACAATATTCACTTCTATTATTGCACATGCTGGAGATGTGAATGTAAGAAACTTATATCACTTTCTCAGTTTGTGACAGCATGAGCAATCAATATTCTGTGCATGCGCAAAAAATGGTATGCTTTTCACGTCAGTGCTAACGATTTATGATCTCATGTGCATAATGAGTTCGAAAGTTTAATGTAAAAGATATATTTTTTTTTTTTTCAGTCACTGAGATAGATGTACACTATGAAAACGGAAGAGAATCACAAGGGACTGGCATAATACAATACTCATTTGCCCCTAACTTTCCACTCGTGTTTTTTTCTTTTTTCACATTGCAGTATTATGATATTAGAAAGAAGTGTGAAGGCAGTCTATGCTACGACTTCTCAAACCTAGAAAAATACCTCAACCAAAAGTCTGTGAGGGATGCACTTGGGGTTCGAGACATAGAGTTTGTACCTTGTAGTACAACTGTCTACCAGGCCATGCTCATGGACTGGATGAGGAATCTTGAAGTGGGTATTCCGGAGCTTCTAGATAACGGAGTGAAGCTGCTAGTGTACGCTGGCGAATATGACCTGATCTGCAACTGGCTCGGTCAGTTTCACACTTGGTTTACTCCTCCCATCTGAGAGTATTCTTGTAAAATTATTTTTATCTCATCAAATGGCTGCAAATTGTGATTTTTTTTTTATTGGGCAGGTAACTCGAGGTGGGTCCACGCAATGGAGTGGAGTGGTCGGAAGGATTTTGTGGCATCCCCGGAAGTTCCTTTTGAAGTTGATGGTTCGGAAGCAGGATTATTGAAAAGCCACGGACCTCTTAGTTTCTTGAAGGTTTGGATCCCTCTCTCTGAACATGTTTTTTAATTAATTGATTTTAAGTGAATGATTACAAATACTACCTTCGATATATTTAGCATATTTACTTATAAAGAGACAAGGAAAAAAAAAAAGACGAAAAAAAAAAATTGTGATTAACACATTCTTGTTTCTTATGAACAAACAGGTACATGATGCTGGACATATGGTTCCAATGGACCAGCCTAAAGCTGCGCTAGAAATGCTGAGAAGATGGATGAGTGGTTCACTCTCTCGTGACACTTCTCGAGAGGAAACCCTTGTTTCTTCAATGTGATTTTGTGAGTCTGGTTATATTAACATTGAAAACGAAACAAAAAAGGGGGACAAAAATGGAAGTTTGTAAATGAGACCAATGGACATGTTATTGCATCTGCATTCTCGTTGTAGTACGAAACGGTCAGGACGAAGTTAGTTTGCTGCACTTTGTACTGAGTTTATTAATTGCTGTGGCATGCTTGAAATGGGAATATTCCGAATTAGGGTAACGTTTGACTGATGTTGGTATTATGAGGAGGTAAATACTTTGGATCTCTTTGGGATAATGGATAAGAAGGAAGATTTGTTACTTGTATATGAATTTTGGAATAGAACTCTGAGTTGGAAAGACTGAAAACTGAATTGTTTTGTGCAAACAAGCTGAGTTTACATCATCATTTTTTGAAAATGTTGGATGGTTAAAGTTTCTTGCCAGCATAAACACTAAGGCTATGTTTGTAAAATTAGCTTATAGTTTATCATAGCTTATTAGTAATTTTCGAGCTTATAGCTTATAATTTATGACTTATAGTTTAAAAGCTAGTTTATATGATAAAAGTGTTTGGTAAAATTAGCTGATAAGCTAACTTGAATAAAAATTCAACTAGCTTATTTGAAAAACTACCTGAAGAAGCTTATCAAATAAGTTTGAGTTTTTTTGAAAAAGTTTGTCCTACCAGACAAGATTCATTTGAATACATGGAGCTTGTAGGCTGACTAAATAAGTTATGAGTTAGCTTATTTGTCTACCAAATATAGTATGAAACTATGCTAAAATAGGCGGTGAAGGTGGCGGTAGCTCCTATATTTTGAAAAGTCACTTATGTTTATCAAATGTACTCATCTATCAAAATATATCATTATCGTGCCCGGCTGGCCTAGCAAAATTTATTGGAAGTTGCTATGATCTCTCTACAGTTTTGCTATGAAGCCAACAGTTGGCTTTATGGTGGGATCAACTTTCTATATACAACAAGTAAATCATATTTATTCTCTGATTATTTAAATAATACTAATATTTTATTAATAGGTGTGATTTACTTTTGTACATAGAAGATTGTCTCCACTATAGAGTCAACTGTTGACTTCGTAGCAAAACTGTATCTCTCTATCATGCTGATCAAATGTACTCATCTACCAAAATCATCCTCAGGTTCGCACCATTTATTTTGCTTCCTCAGAGTTTATATTTTGCTGCCTAGAGTTTATATTTATGCAAATAACAATAACAATAAAAAGAAACTAGCAACATCGCAAGCACGCATATCGCGTATACGTTTCTTCCATAATGATACTGATTAATATTTTTCAATATATTACAATTTTAATTATTTTCATAAGAGATTTGAAGGTATAGTTAATTATTTTCGGATTAGTCGGTTCTCCTGTGGGTCCGGAAACCGGAAGGTCCCTATACCAAAAAAAAAAACAAAGCAGAATTTCATGTAATATCACGATTTTTTTTTGCAAATTTGTGTTCTAGTTACTACTTTTCGTCTTTTGGCAAATTTTATCGCCACCTTTGCTTATTTGGAAATAGTACATGAAATAAAAAAGATTTATCGCTATAATCTGACGTGTCCGAAGAAATGTTGACATGTAAGATTCATCCAATTTTTTTTTCCACGTCATTTTGTATATTGCACATAATATCACAGCCTTACGTGAATTTGCAAATAAATCACGACATTTGGATTTGTTAAATTATATCATGGCGTCAATTTATTTGCAAAAAGTCACATGAAAAATGCAATTCAATAATAGGACTTTATTGTCGGTTCGATTATCTATTTATAATTTTAAAATTTTGTTTAATTTGGTTCGATGTCGACTTTATTTTTTAAAATAATCGAACTGACCAAACTACACATACACACAAACACACATATATATACACGTGCATTATTTATTTTCAACCATAAATAGTATAATAAAATTCTAAATAAAAATATTGAAATACAATATATATTTATAATATGAATAATAAATTATTTCGATTATTTACTGTAATCTGGTTAACCAATTAAATAAACTCATTATTCGGTTTTAGTTTGGTTTGGGATAAATTATTAAAAATGAATGCATGCGCTGTGAGTGCACAATAGTGGTAGACGAATTGTACATTAATGACTATCGGATTGCACAATAATTACTATGGCCGAACTAAAATTTTTGGTTCTATTATATTTTTTACTTTTAAAATGTCGATTATTTCAAATCGATATTTGTTTCTTATAAATAAACTATTTAACCGGACAGGCGAACTATAATATATATGTAAAAATAGTATTTATTTTCAGCCATAAAATATAAA